TTCTAGGGAGTTTGAACCCCTTAGTAAAAGCTGGATCTCATGGCTCTTTTTCTCTTAGACAACTCAATATTTGCCGAAATAAATTTTATCTAGAGAGGAGGCAAATTTAAAAGACAGGTTTCATTTTAAAACAGAACACGACAAAACCACGCGCATCAGTTGAGGCTAGAACGAATGCTTGCTCTCGCAGTCACCGCCCTCTGGTCACCGGGAGGAGGCGCTGCTCGACGCTGCCCTGCAGGGCTTGGGCTCCTGGTGCAGCTGGAGCCTCTCCACATCACGGACAAAAGGACTCGTGTCCCGCCGCCCAGGCGGAGCCTTTCTCTGCCCGCCGCCGGGCAGCCCCAGCCAAGCCTGAGGCGGAGCGAACTGCATGTGACCCTGCATGTGACCCCACGTGTGACCCCGCATGCGGGGCCCCTCCCGGGTGGCCCCACTACAAAGCCCTGAACAGCCGAGCTCCGCGTGCCGGAGCTTTCCCCGCCTGAACCTTCCCTTCCACAGGCTGGTTAGAAACAGTTCCGACTTCATGATACATTTAAAAAAAAAACAAACCCCAAACAAAAAACCACCACCACCACCACCACCACCTCTCTTGGAGTGTGTCCAAAGGCTGTGCTTGCTTTACCTCTTGTTTCTCCCAGGGGAAAAACACAATTGAGCGAGCAATGAAGGAATCACTGATCATTTCTTGAACTTTGACTACACACTAGGCACTCTTCATAGGCGCTTTGCTAGGTGCTGTGTAGTCAAGTCATCTCATACAACAAACTGAAATGTTGCCCCAAACATTCTGTCCTGGGCCTGCACAATCCCCACTATGGCTCCTATATTTGACTTTACTACTGTTCCAGTGTCAACCCATGCAAATTCTTTAATTGTTCCTCACAGGGGATCAGCAAGATACTGGCTTTTTTTCCATTTTATGGACGAAAACGCTTGTGTAAGGCAAACTGTTGAAGAGCGTGGTGAAGTTGGAGGATCCTGTTCACTCAAGAGAAAAGCCTAGTTATCTATTCTGATACACCGGGGTACCTAGCTATGACCAGGAACCCACCTCACAACCAGATCTTTCTTCTGAAGCACCTCTGGGTGGACTCAACCTTTTAGCTTCACGACATGGACCATTGCAGAGGTTCGTCAATAAAATGGGTTTAAAAAAACAAAATGCTAACAGAAGCTTTCAAATGGTAGCTCAAGAACACAAAGTATTATAATGAAATGTGCAGAGCGCTGAAATTGGAAAGTAAAGAGGAACTCACTCTGCATTTCTCAAGCTGAGGGAACTGAAGAACAAATTTAAGCCTTGAGTTGCAATATTGAAAGATGCTATGAGCAACATATTAAATGACCCAAAAGCATCAAAAGAAGATAGAATACACAGAATCACTATACCAAAAAGAACTGACACTGAAAAATTTCAGGAAGTACCATTTGAGCAGGAGCCAATGATAATGAAGAAGGAATTTGAAGCTATATTGAGGGCACTGGCAAAAAATAAGGAACCCAGGAATTGATGGGATATCAATTGACTTGTTTCGGTTAACAGATGTCGCCCTGGATGAGCTCACCAATTTATGCCAGAAAATTTGAAGGACAACTGTCTGGCCAAAGGATTGGAAAAAGTCCGTATTTGTTCTCATCCTTAAGAAAGGTTGGAGAAGAATGTTCCCTCAGGCCTGACCCTCAGGTAACCTGATAATGTCCATATCCTGATAAGGCCCTGGGCCTAATCACACATTGACAGGACCCTTGCCCCAAAATTCTTGAGCAAACTAGCATCCCCTATAAATCTCCTTAACAGCCCCTATAAAAGGAAACTGGTTTTGTCTACCTGCACTGCCATCCTGATCCTCTCTGCGAGTGATCACCTGGTGTCCTTCTCAGACCACTTAATAAAGGCCTGTTCATTTCTTGGGACCAACTTCTTTGTCAAGTATTTTTTCTAACAAAGGTGACCCAAAAGAATGTGGAAACTGAACAATATCATTAATATCACACGCAAGCAAAATACTGCTGAAGATCACTAAAAAATGGATAAAACCGTAAACTTCCAGAAGTTCATGCAGGATTTAGAAGAGGCCATGGCACCAGGAATATCATTGTTGATGTCAGATAGACCCCAGCTGAAAGTATAGAATACCAAAGAATGTGTTTTTGTGCTTTGTTGACTCTGCAGATCATAACAATAGCTAACATTGAGAAGAATGGGAATCCCAGAACACCTAATTGCGCTCATGTGAAGCCTATACCTGAACCAGGAGGTTGTGTGACTAGAGCAAGGGAGCACACTACATGGTTTAAAATTAGGGAGTGGGTCAGGATTGTATTCTCTCTCCATGCCTATCCATTCTGTATTCTGAGTAAATTTTTCAAGATGCTGGCCTCTATGAAGAGGAATGTGACATCAAGATCAGAGTGGGACTTATCAATAACCTGCGTTATGCAGATAACACAACCTTGCTTGCTGAAAAAGAGGAAGACTTGAAGCTCTTGTTGCAGGAAATCAAAGAATACAACCTTCGCTATGGCTTGCACCTCAATGTCAAGAAAACAAAGATTCTTACCACTGCACCTAGAGGCAACATCATGATAGATGGAGAAAAGATTATAACTGTCAACTACTTCATCTTCCTTGAATCCACCATTAACACTCTTGGTACCAGCAGTCAGGAAATCAGAGGACACATTGCACTGGGAAAGTCTGCAGTTAGAGACCTCTCCAAATTATTGAGAAGTAATGATGTCAGTTTGAGGACAGACTGATTTTTTTCTTTAGTCAGGTCTGACTTGGAGAGAATAAAACCAAGATGCTCCTTGGAGGCTAGGATTTTGAAGCTCCGACTCACATACTTTGTGCATGTTGTCAGGGGGGACCAGTCCTTGGAGAAGAATATAATGCTTTGAAGGATGGAGGGATAGTTCAAGAGAGGAAGACCCCGGATGAGATTGATACAGTAACTGGGGTAATGGTGATAGGTGTGTCAAAGACAGTGAGTCTGGCTCCGGACAGCACAGGGTTCAGAACTATGTATGGTCGTTGAGTTGCAGGCAACGTGATGTCATGTAACAACCACTGGCCTATATTCTTTCAAAAGATGAAATGTTTCTGATGGAACTCTAAGGTGCTCTTTTGAGTGATGGAAAGACTTAACAGATCCACAAGTTACTGCATCATTGTCTTAGATGTTGGAAGACAATTTTATCTTTTTTTAAAGATTTAGATTCATCTTACAGGGACGTTACATTAAAGGAGATCACCTATGTAGGGCACTAAGCAGAGTGCTTCATACATAAGAGCTCATGCGGTAGACAACTGAGTAGAAGCCTTCTCAAATAACTCCCAAACTGTATGTCACAGACAATCACTACCTGCAGTTAAAATTAATTGTAGCAGGAAACAAGCTAAAAGGTACTTCCCTGGAAGTTAATTCAAGTCTCTTGACCCCACATGAGAACCAGAAAATGAACTGCCAGCAACAGGTTTTTCCAGGTATTTGCTTTCACAAGTCCCTGCCCCATTCCTTCGCTGTCAGCTGGTAGTGTAATACCTGTGCCCCTCCCAGTCTCCTCCACGCCCCTCACTGTAGCAGGGCCTGCTTCCCACGCCTCCTGCTGCATGGGCTTACTCCAAAAGCCACTGAACTATACAATTTTCATGTAGAAAGACTTGGAATTAAACTCCATGCTCTTATTTCTAATCCTCAAGAAGATCACCATTCTCTTTGTCTTCTTCTCATAAGTTTTTCCTGGCTCCAGAAGAGGATAAAGGTGAGAACAGTCTCCACACCCAATGAAGGAGGAAAATCTGATAGAGGATTGTTATTGTGTACCATCAAGTCAATTATGACTCACAGCGATCCTAGGAGAGGGCAGAACCACCCCATTGGGTTCCTATGCTGTAATCTTTACAAGAGAGAATTGCCAGGCCTTTTCTTCCAAGGGAGAGACTGGTGTGTACAAACCTTTCAGCCGGTCTCTGAGCACTTAACTATTGTGTCACCAGACTCCTAGATAGGGAGTTAGAATAAAAACAGTCTCTGTCCTTGCTCCAAGGTAAAAGAAAATGATTTTAAAACATTTGGATTCTCAAAAGTCAACAGTGGCTATCTTTAGGTGATAGGATTAAAGAGGTAATTCTTTCATTTATGGACTTCCTAATTGTTGACTGTGCATTATTTTTAGTATAATAAAATGTATTGAGGTCTTCTGTAACAACAAAAGCATTTTGTGCTCAAGAAACTTGGAAAGCACAAAGAAATAAAAGTTCCTTCAATCACATCATATAAAGATAACAGCTGTTAACATTTTGACATATGTCTTCCCAGACGTTTCTCTATATAGAAATACTTCATTTTTTCGTGATCTGGGAAAAAGCAAACATTTAAGAAGCAAAATCTTGAGTTTTTCATTTTCAATTTTATTTCTGTTTTTAAACAGCATCTAACAGCTTGGAAATGTCCCTAACAACAAGGACATGTCCCATGCACTCCCCGATGCTCCCCTACAGGCCAGGGCTGGGGTCTCAGATGCAGTAACTCCCCCTTACCTACATCGGCCATCAGGCCCTATTTTCTTTCCCTTAGGAGACTTGGGACAGAGAAGGGTCTCCAGTCAGAGGGAAAGCTGGGACTAAGGACACTGCCTGGAAGGGCTTGGCTCAGACACAGCTGCCTTTGTTAGTCTTAGCCTATTTGGGATTTGGTAGCATGCTCAAACTGTGGCGTACAAAAAGAGGACTCCTGGCCTCTACTGTGGCCTCGTTCATTCCTGGGCAAACTTCATGGCACCACTTCTCTTTCTGGGCTCTGCCCATTGCCTTTACAAGATGGGCATCTGGCAGCCTGTGACTCTCCAGCATGTGCCTTAGTGTGGCCTGTTCAAATACCCTAGTCAACTTTCTTCTGACCTAGGCAGTTTGAGGAATCAGGAAGGTTACAAGAATTGATTCAAACCTGAGGGTCCCACTGCCTCCTACTACAGAGCTCAGCATCTGACTGTACCAACTCCTTACCAAGTTTCATCTAAAGGGAGAAAATACAAGGGCTTTTCCTTGTGACTTAAGAGGGGCAAACATGGGCATTTAAACCCAAGCATGGACCCAGAGGGGTCTCCCAGGCTGGAGGCAGCTCAATGCATGCTATGCACTAAAGCAGCAGGGGCAGCTCAGCTGGGAGGGTGGGGGCACACAAGGCTGGACCTACCCTCCCCCCACTCCCAGTCCACACTTACAGTAACCATGGAAACACAACCACCTCCCCCTCCTACCAGCTGCCTGGGCTAGACAACCAGGTCTGGCCCACCTCCACCCAGCCAAGGCCTGAATTGATGCCAGGCTGGCCACAGAGTGGCTGCAGGAAGAACTGGGATTGGGTGATTTGGTCAGGCTGGCTTTCCAGCACAGCTTGGGAGGACTACCACAGGAGCCTCCATACCTCACTGCTGGCTGGGTTCAGACGGGGCTTAGTCAGCTAGCAAAGAAGCCAGCAGAGCCAGTGGATGGCCCCAGCGGCCCTCTGCCTGTGGGCTAACAGCTACTGTGGGGTAGTAGCCCTTGCTGCAGCAGAAGCAGCCTCTGGCCCTCATTGAGAGGGCTCTCTGGCTGCTGCTCCTCCTGCCCAGGCTGTTCAGGCAGCCCGCCTGGGCTCAGGATGTACCGACAGTCGCTGGGTGTGCCCCCCACTGCTCCCAAACCACTGTCATCCCCAGCCCCATCGCAGGCCTGATCTCCACCAGGCAGGCCCAGGCTGCCTCCCTCAGCAGGCTCCTTGGCTTTCTCAATGTTGATGTACAAGGGGTCCTGGCTGCTAGACAGCACGGACAGGTGGCCCAGGATGTTCTCCAGTTCCATGCGCAGGCATGTAAAACTCGGGCGCTGTTTGGGGTCCGCACTCCAGCACTGGTACATGAGCTCATACCTGGGGCAGAGAGGTTGACAGGAGGTAATGAGGACCTGGAAGGGGAAGGATGGCCCTTCCTTCAAAAGTGGAGGCACCTAATCATTTTTCTTTTTTTTAGGTAAAAAGTAAAGATATATTTAGTAAAAAGTTACATCCCAAATGGACTGGCCTCCCTCCTTGAAAGGAAATATAGAGAGGCCAATCATCTAAATTGTTTTATTTAATATATTCATGTATGTTGTTGTTGATTGCTATTGAGTCGAAAATGACTGTTAGTGACCCTATGAAAAAAAGGCCTGAAGACTTTCTGTAACTATCGTCATTTCGCCAAGTTCATAGAGTTTCCAGAGACATGTGGTTTAGGAAGTGGATGCCACTCCTGCTTCCAACATTCACATATAGGGCTTATTATTTATTAAATCATTTAACTCTTACAACAATCCTATGATTTCAGTTCCACAATTATGCCTATTTTAGAGAGAAAACTGAAGCACAGAGAGGTTGAGAAATTTGGCCAAGGTCACACAAATAGAAAATTATAAAGCTTCGATCTGAAACCAGGTGAGTGGGCTCCAAAGTCCCTGCTATGAGGCCTTGGGAAGGGATACCCAGGAGTGCTTCTACCTTCAGAATACGGTCTGGAGTCAGGACTATTTTGGTGGAGTGGAGGGCTTTGATCATCTATCCTTTTCCCAATATCCTCATAAGAGAGATCCACTCAGGCAGTCTTTAATCCTCATGAGCCACAGACCCCTTCGACAAGCTAAGAAAAGCTTCGAGCCCTCGTCCCCTGACACGGAGACTTTTTTACATACTATTTTTAAGGGCCTTACAGACGGCCTGAAGTCCTACCCCTGTTCTCAAAGAATGCCCTAAGCCAAGGGAAAAAAACCTACCACTGGACTGACCATCTTGCTTGTGCTCGTGCCCTCATGATGGAGGCCCCCAGTAACTGGGGAGTCACACCAGACACTGAACCGGCCGTGGGAATGATCATGGGCCATGGGCACATGGCGGGGCAGGGACACATTCTCAAGGCTGTGCTAGGAGCCAGCTGGCACCAAGCCACCCTACACTGGCAATACCAGTGTCAGCCCGGGAGAGGCTGAGCGAGGGCTAGTCCCCACCACCCACAAGAATTTCTGACGCTACAGAAGGCCCAGCCAGACTGCAGTCATAGGAAGCCCCAAACCTCCTGTGCCCTCTGCTCTGCTGAGTGAACTGAATAGGAGGGCAGGGTCTAGCGGGTACACTTGTCTCCCTCTCAGGTGCAGGTGAGTCACCCATAGCACAAGCCCATTGCCCTAGAGATGAAGGACCCCACCATTCAAGCTGAGCCTTCTTTTGTCTTTCCAGGGTCACAGTTCTCTGGTGGTCCAACCTCCCAGCCATAAACAGGAAGCATTCCTTCTCTGGACCACTAGGGACCCCCTTGCCCTGCTGCTAGTGAAAATATCCTCTGGGTCTCAGGGAAACTCTGATTTGGGCAGGGTAAGGAGACTAGGAAAGATTAATTACAGTTGATGGTTAAGAGCATGTACTCTGAAGTTACAGGACTTGAGGTTCAAATCTCAACTCACTCATCTGATAGCTGTGTGACCTTGACTGTGTTATTTAACCTCTTTAATCCTATTTCCTCATCTACACAATGGGGATGAATAGTTCTTTCCTCACTTAGTTATATGAGGATTATCTGCAATAATACCTGTGAAGTGCCCAGAAGATGTGAATTACGCTTAGTTTGCTCACACTCTTGTACCCAACTTCACTTCTAATGACTTCAGAAAGCAAAGAAGGCAGCTCTTTTGTCCCATGGTGTGTCTGCTCTCTCAGCTATTCTCCACTCCCTTGACAGGAAGTCAAGAAAAAGGAAGGGAACACAGCCTCTTGCCCCTGACCCTCCTCCTTGTCCATCAGGGAGTGGATGGTGCAGCCCCACCCAGCGCAGTCCTCTGGTGAGAAAGAAGAGCTGAACTGAGAAGCCTTAGGTGGGAGGCTGGAGTTGAAGAAGGTGACAGGGAAGTCTTCACTACTGCTCAACCCTGTGCTTTCTGCCTGTGCTGTTTCTGGTCCTGGAAACTACAGAAGATAGTGACAGAAAAGGGCTGGCACCTAGGATAGTGACTCCCTTCTAAATATAAAATGCTATCAAAATAAATTCATTAATAAATGTCTAATTGAGGTTCTGAACTCCCACTGGGCCAGCAGCTGTGGTGGCAGCCATTGGCTGAAATTCCCATTTCCTCCCCAAATCTCCATCCTGGGGTACTCACACATCCTCCATACACTCCGGGGGCTGTTTCAGGCGGTTCCCGCCGATGAGGTAGTTGTAAATCTCAGCATTCTCGATGCCAGCATATGGCGTCTGCCCACGAGTCATGATCTCCCACATGGTCACCCCAAAGGCCCACTGGGATAAAAGCACCGTTGGAGATGTGTCACTATGCTTCCTCAGACAGACAGCTCTAAAGCAAGCACATCTCGGGCTCAGGGGCCTCATAACTGGGTGGGCAAAGACAAGTGGGCAGATCCGGCCAGTCCAGCAAAGGAGGAGCCATAAAGCCTCCCTCTGCCACCCTGCTCACCACGTCACTGTGCACAGTGTACAGGTTGTCAGCCAGGCTCTCCAGGGCCAGCCATTTGACAGGCAGTTTGGAGGCACTACCCTGACGATAGTAGTCCCCGCTGTAGATCTTCCGGGAGAGTCCAAAGTCGGCCACACACACTGTCATGTCCTCTGCCAGCCTAGTGGGGCGTTATAGGACAGGAGTCAGCTTTCTTCATAAACAGCCTTACCAGAGCTGGGACATATTTGCCCCCAAGCTGCCCCTTCATATCAGATCCATTAAGTAACCCCTCCTAGAGCTAGCCATCTCCCACCCTAAATCTCTAGGATTCACATACATGCAATTCCGAGCAGCTAGGTCTCGATGGATGAAGTTCCTGGAGCTCAGGTATTCCATGCCACAAGCAATATCCACCATGAACCGGATGAGAGTTTGAAGGGGCAGGTTCTGGAGGACAGACAGGACAAGATCAGGCTGGATGTGCTCACCCAGCAGGGGCTGAACGGTGTTCATAGTCAAGAGGCCAGATGGCCTGAAGAATGTCCTCAGCAGCACTGAAAAGGGATTTTCCTAAGGCTTCGATGCTTTCGCAGTCTGACACACAGCTCAAGAGCCAAGGTGCCCACCACAGTAGACAACATAGGTCTGTTTTCCCAGACAGGACCCTTGTCCAGTCCAAGAGCCCCAGCAGGACTTTGTGAAGGAAAATGAAGCTCACCAGCTAAAAAACAATCAAACTCCGAGCACTCCTGCTCCCAATCTGCCCACCAAGCCCCACTCTCGTATAGGTTTCTTCTCTCATCTCCATTTTCTTCTGGCCACTCCCATCCAGTACTCACAAAGGGGTCCTCCCCAATCCGGGAGGCGAGCAAGAAGGCGTGTAGGTCCCCATGTTTCATGAAGGGCAGGATGACCATGGGGATGGGGAGGCGGCCCTTGGCCCTGCTCCGGAGGCTCACCCCTAGGGATAAGGGAGAGTGAGGAGCTGTGCCAGATGGCTCATGAGGCAACATCTACCCAACATCCTGTTGGGCCCATCTTTGGCCCTGGCTCTGCCACCTCTTTTGCCAACGGTGTACATGGCCTGGTGAGTCAGGGTTGCCTCAAGAAACCAATTCCAATCCTTGAAGCAACTTCTCTGTCCCTACCTCCCAGAGGAGCAGTCTCCATCATGCCAGCCTTTGGTACAGGGTCAACAAACTAATTTTATCTGGAATCTGACAGGATTCAGCCAGGACACACTATTTTGCTTCCTTCTGCTTACTCACCAGGTGAGTCCAAGTCTCTCTCTGACAGGCTGCCCTCCTACTTTGCGAGGGCATATTTTTGGCTCTGTTTTATACCTGCCTCCCCCAAGCAGGGGCTCACCAACAAGCTTGACCACATGTGGGTGGTCAAACTCCTTCATGCAAGCTGCTTCCCTGAGGAACTCTTCAATGTCGCTTGAGGCAATGATGTCAGCTGGCAGAACAGAATGAGAGAGAGAGGGAGGGATGTAAGATCCTCCAGATTCCTAGGCCTCATTCTCTAGATGTCCTGGCCCAGAAGACACTCTGACCTCAAGCAGGGGCAACTTGCATGGATGAAGCAGTAGTGTTCAGCAGTTTCTCTACTTGCACAGCCCTCCCTTTGGTTTGGCTAGCCCAGTACTCGACCAAGCACAGCCTTAATCATCCCAAGAATGAGTTCATTGAATAGTCACTGCTGACAGCAGAGAGAAAAAGCTGGGGCACAAATACACGTGTGAATTATTCACATGGTAGACAGCAGCCTAGTCAAGCGCTGACTACCTCTTGTCAGAAAGTCTAAGGGCAAAACTGAGTGGGCCTCAGGACCAGTCCCTCTCCTGCCTTTCCAAGTGATGCTCTCATTTCCCAACTCTACTTTCCACTCACCTTTGAGCATCTTCACCGCCACTTTCACAAAGGAGCCATCTTCCTGCTTCAGCTGGGCCTCCCGCACCGAGCCAAACTCTCCTAGGGTCAGATCCAAATGAGGGTAAATCCCTCAGCCTCCTTCCCCTCCCTTTATCCCTCCCAAGTCACCCCCGTGGGTTCACAAAGCAGACTCTGGAGCCACCAGAGGAGATGCCCCTGCCCTCAGCCAAAGCAGAGCATGCTGGGAGCAGTTCCTCAGTTCTCCTATTATCTCCATCTACCAGTTCCCCAAACTTCTCAAATCAGGGTCTACAAGCGCACTCTGTTTATAGGAGCTGATCCAAATCCATACCCTCCAAGTGATAATATACCTGGACACAGAAAACCATCGCCATCCCTTGCAACGGCCCCACAAACCTTTGCCTAACATCCGGCCCAGGGTGAACTGTTGTTCTGGGATGAGCACATCTTCCAGTTTGTCCTTCAGTTCATCACTGATGCCCAAGCTGTCCACTGTGAGAAGGTCAGTGTATAAGGAGAGTGACTCCAGCTTCTAATCCAAAGCCCACCCTTACCGCCTCCAACCCAGACTCCACCCTCAGAGCAGAGAGATGTTTACTCTCCCACAGCTAAGCTAGGGACAGCAACCTTCACAAAAGTAAGTTTGTCTTGCCTGTCTTTTGTGCCTGGAACTCAAGGTTCAGACATATTGGTTAAATTAATCAGCTGGTAAAAGGAATGCAGACAGGAGCACAAAGGTAGGCCACTCTTTCCTCCCATGATTCCCCACCACTCACATGTTGCCTCAATACGCTCGGGCCTTTCCCGATTGAAGGATCGGGCTGCTCGGAAATGGACAGCTGGCTCACCCCGGGCCATGACACTGTCGAAGGCTTGCCTAAAAGGAACCAGAGAAAAAAAGTCTTTAAAAAGGAAACAGAGGACCTGGGATCAGTTCCAAGGCCCTCAGCTACCACCTGCCTCTCCATCTCTGCTACCTTCCTTACCCAAACCGTGTCTCTTTCCGTCTCTTTCGAAGTAGGATCAGGGCCAATGCAGCAGCTGTCACTAGGGCTGTCAGCACACCCAGGACTACAGGTACCCAGGATGTCCGGCTGTGTGGTGGGCCCTGCTGGCCTGTAGAGGGGAAGGTAGCAGCATGAACTAAGCCGCCACCAAGCAGTCTCTCAGAACCTTCCCAGGATAGCCATCTGGCTTAGCCTAGAGGTTCACCTTAATCAACAAGGATCCCTGAATGGAAAGTGATCTCAGAGGAAGGCCCAAGACATTTTTAGATGCTGTCTTATCAACATGGGCCTTGGTTATTGGGAATGAACCTATAGCATGACCAAAAATGACTCAATACTTCTTCTAGGTGCAAGAGTTGAGAAGTTATGGGTAGAAAATGAGATATACAGTTTAAATCTCTTGGTGCCACTGGTGGATTCAAACTTCTAGAGAGGTGCAGCCTGTGGACAGTTTAGCAAGCGCTTAAAAAGCCCTGCTCTCCTGCCCCCTCCCCCTCCAGGCCTTACCTGCATGGTCATGAGAAAAGACAACAAGAGGTTGACTCCAGGGCCCACAGCCAAATGCATTGAAGACGCACACACGCACAGTCAGGTCCTTCTGAGGATCCCAGTCTGTCAAGTTGACTCTGGTCCCCTCCACTGTCAGCTCACTCTGCAGCCAGAAAAAACCCCACCCAACACTGAGCCTGAGAAGAAGGTCTCAAGCTGCGGCTTGTGGGTAGGAGCAGCTCCTACAAGAAGCTTGGCAGCGTGTGACACTCTGGGTTCAGAGGCTACAGGAGCACAACCTGCAGGGAGTCATCACATTGCTGCTCCTGGCTGCTGAGAAGCTCCTGAAGACAAACAAGTCTCAGTCCAGGAATGCAAGGGGGATGGGGGAGAGACAGGCCTGGATAAAGCCTTATCGGTGCCCTCCTCCCCTAGTTTGTGCAGGAATGTGCTTCCTGCTTAATAAACAAAGTGGCCACCAGACCCTAACTAGAAACAGAACCTAATAAAGAGTAGAGCCTGCAGTAGAGGGCTGGGGGAATGAATGCCCCAGGCAGTGGGAGGCCCAGGGCACTGAGGATAGTCTTCTGATACTCTAAAGGTTCTGGAGCACTGAAAGCTGATTCAAGTATATTTGGTGAGTGAAAAATCTCTATAGCCCCTTACCTGGGTTTCGTTGTCTTGAACCCAGGATATTTTATAGGGTCCCAGGGGGTCTTCCATAGGGCCTGTAGGGATCACTTCTTCCCACTCCAGGATAAGACATGAGTCTGTTCGGAAGGCATGGAGGTTTTGAGGAGCGCTAACTGGGGCTAAAACAAGAAAGAAGATTATTAAAACCACTGCCCTTCCCACCATCATTATCCTATACGGGCTTCAAGAACCAACTCCCCAAAACTAAACTCATCCTCCAGCTCCGACTCTGCTCATTCACTGTGATAAAGAGGAGGGGGAAGGAATGGGCAGGAGTAGCGGCAACCTAGCTCAACAGTGCTGTTTCTTCATTGCCACGGTTACTGCCTCTCTCTAACTTATTCCTCACCACTGCCTCCCACAAGGAAGCTCTAGCCACACTAGTCTCCCTGCAGTGGTCAAAGGACTACAAGCAAGTTCTTGCCAAAATGTCTTTGTGCTTGCCTGGTCATCTACATTGATTTGTCCCAAAAGGTCACAAAGTACCTTCCTTATCACTGTGGCCTCAGATCTCCTAGGGAGGTTTTTCTTGACCATCCTGAAGCACGCTTTATCACCAAATCCTCTGATCTTTTCTAGTTTGTCTGCTCCACCCACTAAACAGAAACTTTAAGGGAGAGGGCTGGATTTATCTAGTTTATTGAGCATGCAGCAGGCCCTCAGTAAATGCTGGTTGAATGATACAGGGTCATCCTTTCTTTTTTTTGGGGGGGGGTCATCCTTTCTTAGGTAGCACTTCTCTCATATACTCTGTCCAGACAGAACTCCAGGCAAACACCACTACCACCAACTCCCTGCTCTATAAGTCCCTTACCTATACCCTCTGTCCGAAAAGGCACCCAGTCAGCATAAGGAGAGGGCCCCAAGGCGTTGGCACAGCGCACCCTGAGGCTGTAGTTGGTAGCAGGAGCCAGATCTCGGAGCAGACAGGTAAAGGGTGGTACAGGCACCACAACAGCCAGGACTTCCCAGTCTCCTGGGGCTTGGGTCACCTACAGAAATGCAGAAAACAGTGGTGTGGATGAAGGCTGAGATCGATGGAAGATGAGATGTGTAAGGAAGGGTGTGTGTCAGGCAGTTCAAAATCATCAGCTGCTCTGCAGGGAGAAAAAGATGGGAAACCTCATTTCAAGTGATTTACAGCCTCTGAAAACCCACTGGTCAGCTATGAGTGTCAGCTATGAGTCAGTTCTGACTCGACAGCACATAACAACAATGTGGTATAGGGATTGGAGAAAGACTCATTAAATACAAAATGAAATATACAGATAGATCACTCAACCCTGTTTGCTGAAAGTGAAAAGGACATGAAGCACTTACTGATGAAGATCAACAACTACAGCCTGCCGTACAGATGACACCTTAACATAAAGAAAATAAAATCTTCACAACCAGACCAACAAGCAATATTATGATAAATGGAGAAAAGGCTGTTGTCAAAGATTTCATCTTACTTGGATCTACAACCAAAACTCATGGACGCAGCAGCTAAATGATTAAATACCTTATTGCATGGGGCAAAACCTGCTGCAAAAGGCCCCTTTAAAATGTTCAAAAGCAAAGATATTGCTTTGAAGACGAAGGTACACTTGATCCAAGTCATGGTATTTTCAGTCACTTCATAATGTATGTTAATGCTGGACGGTGAATAAGGAAGACAAAGAATTGGTGCCTTTGAATTATGGCAATAGTAAATATAATACTGAATATACCATGGACTGCCAGAAAAAAAAACAAACACCTAGCCTGGAAATAATATAGCCAGAATGCCCCTTAGAAGCAATGTCGAAACATCACCTCATATACTTTGTACATGTTATCAGGAGTAGCCAGTCCCTGCTGAAGGGTATCATGCTTAGGATAGGGTCAGCAAAAAAAAGAGGAAGTTCCTCAATGAAATGGATTGATACAGTAACTGAAACAATGGGTTCAAACACAGTAACTGATTGTGGGGCTGGTGCAGGGCTGGGCAGTGTACTGTTCTGTTCTACATCAGGCCTCTGTGTTTGGAACCAATTCAGGATTCCAACAACAACAGGGCAACTAACACTAACTACTAAGCCCATCAGCAGACATTTGCTGTACTCTTCCCTCTTCGTGTTTCCTCTGATGCTTTGCTCAGTAACACATTAAGTCTTATACCATCATGGCCTTTAAAAATGTTTCTTTTGCTGGAAATGACCTTTTTTTCTCCCCCCTAACAAAGTCTAACTCGTCTGTTAAGACTCAGTTCTACTATCAGTTCAAATATCACTTTCTCCATCAAAGCATTTCTCAAATTTTAAACTCCTTAGAAATCATGCTCTTTTCTAACTGGTACTTACTTTGTTAGAGTACTTACCACTTACTGTAACTATTTACATGCCAACCCAAACAAAATCTTAGAGCTTCTCAAGGTTAGAGAAGAATAATTTTCTTATTTTCACATCATGATGACTAGAACCAGACTTTTGTTTTACATCTTGGTGGCCCAGGGTAAGAGCACATGTAAAGGTCCATGTACTAAATGGTTAGGAAGCGCTGGTATCTTAGTGGCAAGAAACTACACTGCAATTCTGAAGACATATGGTTCGAATCCAGCAGCTGCTCCACAAGAGAATATGCAATCTCCTCACATGTGATTACCTGTCTCCGAAAACCAGCTATGGGTTGGTTCTGACTCTATAATATGTAGCAACAACAACAACTATATGGTTAAATTATTTAAACACCGTAATTCAACTAATTCAAGCCTAGTGGATAAGGAGTTATACTGCCAACCCAAAGGCAGGCAGTTCAAATGCACCAGCTGCTCCACAGGAGAAAGATTGGCAATATCTTCTCATACATTAAAGCCTTTGAAAATCCATCAGGGTATCAGTTACGAGTTGGTTCCAACTCACTGGAAAACAACAATAATTCAGTAACCAGTCCCCAATTTTTACTCATGGTGACCCCATGAGTGTAAAATTACGGTGGGTGTTTTTTCTTTCCTAAACTTTTTATTCCCATTCTGGCTGACTCTGAGAAGAATGGGAATCCCAGAACTCTTGATCGTTCTAATGCGAAACTTATACTTGAACCAGGAGGCACTCGTCAGAACAGAGCAAGGGAACACTGCATGGTTCAAAATTGGGAAGGGCATACGCCAGGGATGCATCCTATCTCCATACCTTTTCAACCTATATGCAGAACAGATTATCCGGGAGGCTGGGCTCTATGAGGAGAAATGTGGGGTCAGGATTGGTGGACGATTTATCAACAATCTGCGTTATGCGGATGACACAACCCTGTTTGCTGAAACTGAGGAGGACCTGAAGCACCTGCTGCAGAGTGTCAAGGACTGCAGCCTGCAATATGGATTGAGGCTCAATGTCAAGAAGACAAAGATTCTCACCACTGGACCAATTGGCAGCATCAGGATGGATGGTGAAGAGATTGAGATTGTAGACAGCTTTAGTTTGCTTGGCTACATAGTCAACAGTCTTGGCACCAGCAGCCAGGAAATTAAAAGGTGCACTGCCATGGGAAAGTCTGCTGTTAGGGACCTCTCCAAAGTGCTGAAGAGCAGTGGTGTCTCTCTGGAGACTAAGGTGCGTCTGATACAGGCCATAGTCTTCGCAATCACCTGTTATGCATCAGAGAGTTGGACAATGACCAAGGAGGATAGAAGGAGAACTGATGCCTTTGAGCTGTGGTGCTGGAGAAGAGTACTGAGAATACCATGGACTGCTAGGAAAACAAATAGATTTGTCCTGGAGAGGGTTAAACTAGGTGGCTCCTTGGAGGCAAGGATTCTGAGGCTCCATCTAACTTACTTCAGACATGTAGTGAGGAGAGACCAGTCATTGGAGAGGGACATCATGCTTGGGAGGGTGGAGGGACGGCGCAGGAGAGGAAGGCCCTCTATGAGGTGGATTGATTCAGTGACTGGGATAATTGGGATGGGAGTGTCAGAGACAGTGTGATTGGCACAGGACAGAGCGGAGTTTAGGGCTGTTGTACATAGGGTCGCTATGAGTCGCAGGCGACTCGACGGCACATAACAACAACAACAACAAACTTTTTATTATGTATTGAGTAAAGATTTAAGGAACAGATCAGTTTTCCACTCAATAATCCCATGAACATTTTAGGCCCAAGTTCACAGAGCAAATTTTTCGTTTCCATTCAACAATTCACACACATCTTCTTTCTTAACACTGAATGCAGCCCCTTCATTGCAGCATCACTCATCTCTCTTTTGCCTTGTTACTTGGTTCTATTCTTCTTACTTTCCTAACCCTTCCTACTTTTAATTTAATTCTTGGGCAACTAGTATCCTTTTGCTCTCACAGGATGGATTATTCTAATGAGTTCTTATCCCCTTAGGGTTGTTGTGAACAACTCTCACAGATCTGTCTACTTCTTAGCTAGGGAGCTCTGGTGCCCTAGACTGGAAGGAGTTGTGGTGGCTTCAAGGGACAAAGATGAGCAGTCCCTTCATGTGAATTACAGCCTCTGAAACCCAGAGGGTCAGCTATGTGTTGGTTACAATTTGGTAGCAATGATATTGCTTGGCTGGAAACTGAGTCACAGGGGCAAGCTCGATTCCAGGCTGGATGACTAATGAGCTTTTACCCAGAAGGGTTTTAGTGGCTGGTTTTTCAGGAGTAGATCACCAGGCCTTTCTACTGGGGCACTTCATATCGACTGGAACTGCTAACCTTTCAATTAGCAGCCTAGTGCATTACCATTTACATCACCCAGGTACTCATATAACTTATCATATTTTCTATCTTAAAATCGTCATATACAAACCTTCACAACAACAATCTGAGAAGTAGGTTTCCATTTATAATCCTCTTTTTTTTTTTTCAGGCTGGAAACCAAGCTTGTCAGTTTTGGGGTTTTTTTTTTTTGGTTTGGTGTTGTTTTTTTTTTAATTGAGATTTTAATGAAAGATTAACTTGGATTTCCAGTCATTCATTGTTGCACATTTTCCTCCCTGCCCACCCCTCCCTTCCCGTTAATTTTTCTCCTTAAAAAGAAAAAAAAATCCTTCATTGTTATATAATTCCCCTCCCCACCCCCTGTCCACTTTACTATACAGCTCCTACCCTGGACTCTTGTCATACAAACAAGACCCAATCATATACTCCCCTTTAAACAGTTCTCTCCTGCATCTGTTTCAATGCAGTGTACGTTATTTATCTCCTCTTTTCCTAGATTCCCCACAAACCTATGTCAGTCCTGCTTTATCACAGTGGCATTATGAATATCTGTCCTTTGGTAACTGAGATATTTCACTCAACATAATGTCTTCCAGGGTCACCCATTTTGTATAATATTTCATGAGTTCTTTGTAAATTTTCTGACTTTTTAAAAAAAAAATTATTATTTTTTGTGTGTGTGTACCATCAAATCATATCTGAATGATACAGGAGGAGATTGTCCCTCCTTCTAAAGCAGAGAATCTGGTGGATTTGAACCATGCACCTCTGGAATTGCAGAACAGCTTCTTTCCACTAGGCCACCAGAGCTCCCTAATCCGCTGACTTCTTAAGAGTCTCAAACTAGAATGTGGTAGTCCGAGAAGGACTAACCCTCAGCCAAAGGCCTGTGTGATGAGGCTTCAAATGTATGGCTATGGGTAATGTTGCCTGTACACCCATGTTCAGCGTTGCAAAGGGCTTCAACCTGGGCTTAGAAGAATACACACCAGAGCATGAGTCCCTTGACCTCCAGAAAAGACGCCCACACAGGCCCTGGAAGTAGATTAAGGGCAAAAGATTCTGTGTGCCTTAAGTATTGAGTAGCAGGGTAGGATGATGCTCCAGAGCTGGATAGGTGCATCCACTCAGCCCTGTAGCTTCCTTACTCAGGGGGAAGGAAGGAGTGCCAGAATAGGGTCCTCTAACAGGCAGAGACCAAGGCAGGGACCCTCTTGCCCAGGTCTAATGGCAGAATTGCCTCAAAGAGTTCCCAAAAGTACTCATTAAGCACTTTTTGAAGAAACAGATGACAAAGAGCAAGCTTACATTACTTGTTTTTAGTATCACCTTACCCAGCTTTACTCTCCAGGGCTTAGATTCCCTTCTGGTCATCTCATTCTCTTCAGCACGAGTTGGAAGGGTATGAGAGTGTGGTGTGAAATAAACCAAAAATCTGAGTTTCTCTTACATAAGAAAAACTTTTCTAAGTCTCCCAAAACTATTCCAGTGATCTGCTTTTCACAGCCTGAAGAATGCATGGGTTCAAAACGGCCTGCAGAGTCACCTGGCTGCCAGAATACCCTACAATAAGAAGGGGCTATTCCTACTGAGATGCAGCACCTGAACAGAGCCAGAGACCAACTTCCAGAGTGGGTCTAGGGAACTGTGTTACCACTGTCAACAAAGGCAGTCAGACAAACACGGCCAGGTCAAAACAACATGTTCAGGCTTTCTCCACTTACCTGGACTGTGCAAGACTGCAGCAGGGCTCGGCCATCTGCACCTGGTATCCAGGCTACACTAGCATTACTGCTGGAGAGCTTCGTCACTGTGATGTTGGAAGGGGCTGCAGGCAATACTGTGGACAAGGACCTAGAATGAGTGCCATAGATAGCCCAGTGCCCAGTAAAGACATGAAAAAAAGAACCTGGAGGCATGGGAATCAAGCCTTGAGTCCCTCTCTGTGGTCTATGGTACCTCCAACCTAAAGATTCCTACTTAGGCCCATGAACCACAAAGATACAAAAGCAAGCAACTAGTAGTGGGACAGTTAGTTGCTCATGCCTAAGTTCCTTTTCCTGTGGGAAAAGGTCACTGCTTCCTGAACCAGAGGCCCTTCTTGAGTAGGGAAAAGGATAAGATACTAGGGGTGTAGGGAGGGGAAGACCTCAACCTTGGAAGATACAGCCAAGAGACAGACAGCCCCTGACGCCACAGCCCAGCTCCTCCTACACTGGGCTCCCTTCTGCACCCTGTACACACTAGTCCTTCAGGTCTCCCCTGTCAGCCTTCTTAACCTTGTTACCCCCACCCCACTTGTCTCCACAAGGTGTGGCAGAGGAACAGCTGGGCAGGAACCCTGACCAGCTTCTGCTAGCTGCCTCTCTCCCTCCTATCTTCCCAAGGACTCTGTTGTGATGTCAGGTTTCTATTCTCATCTCAGCCATGGCAGGGTCTCAGGTGTTCCCAATAGGAATGTGAGACATGCCAATTAACCCCCAATCCTCAGGATCCAGCGGGACCAAGAGCAATCCTATATCCTCCACCCACTGCTAGACTTCCTCCCTCCCAGCGCAGTCCTCCTACCTTGAAGTTGAACAGTGGCTGGGCGGGAGGAGGCCAGGCCTTTTAGGTTGTGAGCTTCGCAGGAGAACACAGTGCTCTGAGTCACCCCTGGGGACAGAAAACTTTTTCAGTGCCCAGTTCCCCTCACCCAGGCAGGGTTTGGGAAGTTACTCAAGTTTAATTCCTAAATGAATGCTAGAAGTCTCTCTGGTCAAAGAAAGGGGCTAGAAATGGGAGCTTGGTAGAAAAAAAAACACCAGGGACTTTGGAACCTTATGGATTTGATGTAAATCTCACATCTGTGACTGTTTTCTCATCTCTCACACGGAAGAATTGTGATTATCAAATGATGTGACGTATGTAAAGTGTTACAGACCGAGGGTCCCAAAGAATGAAATAATTTTATAATTATTAATTATGAGACAGACTACCAGGAATGATATAGAACAGAGAGTGTGAAAAACAGGGGGCCAACAGTTCCCATGACTGAAGGCCCAAGCCATGCTTCTCTGAGTATTTATTTAGAATCATAAGGAAGGTAAAAAACACAAGGAAGTACAAAACAAAAACAAAGGATAATGGTGAAGTCTTTTACATATACGGCCAAGTTCCTCTTTATACTAATCTCAAGAGGGAGGGATTCATTTGATACAAACTAAGAACAAGGTTGACGCCTAGGGAACGCCCCAGTGCCACAAGGTGACCTTCAGCTTGTATTAAGCTTCCCTCATTTCCCGATACAGCATTTGGTATTATTAAATTTGATATTCGGCTTCCCTCAGTAATGTGTATGCAAGCACTTGAGAAATGTTCCCCCTCCTGCAGACAGCACTAAATTGCCTCCCTTTTCTGGTCACTCCTTTACTGCACATTCCACAGTGCTTCTCTGTTGGCTCTGTGCCCTTTCATTGTTGTCTGTGCCGCTTCTTTGCCTAGCAATAGCTTGCCATTCCTTATTCTTGTCTTGTCTCCCCAATTATAGCCAATTCCTTAGTGGTAGGGGAACAATGGCTTCCACTTCCTTTGTATCTCGTTGCTCCCCTGTGGTGCCTAGCTCAGTGTGGTGTGCAGAGTAGGAGTTCAGTGAGTGCTTATTATCAAGCTGGCTGCCTGAGTGTCCTAACCACAGCCACGCACATCTGGAGGGAACCAAACCCAACCTCCTCCCCAATCTGTTTCAACCCAGTGCTTCCGGAACAAAATTTGTCCTTGCTTCCCATAGTCCACCTCTTCTCAAGATTCCTATTCATGCAAGAGAACTTGACAGATTAGAGCTCCTTCCCTCCCACCTTTCAGTGCCAGAGATTAAGTTCAGACTCCCATCTTTCTCGCCTGGCTCAAGCCTCAACCAGAAACAATGAACTCTATCTCATGTTTAGGTGAGCCTCATAAGTATGTGTCCAAGTGTCTCCAGGTTCAGGTAGATGTTACAGGCACAACTGTTAAGGTACGGGAAGATTCAGTTGTTTGGAAAAATGTTTGCAGGTTTCCGGGAAAGGGCCATTAGAGGAAGATGCCTCTGTTTCTTTGCACTGGCCTTGCCCCCATTTCCCTGTCTGCAGCCTAAAAGTCTTGGAGACTGAAGACACTCCTCCTAACTCTGTGTGGGTTGGTTTACAGCTCTCTCCCGTGGGAGGGGTGGGAACCAGTCGTGCAAGACCTAGACTTCTGCAAAGCAGGGAAAGGTCCCAGCACCCTTCCAAAGCACACACAACAGGAACATACTAATCAGCCCACCTAGCCAGCCTAGCACACCTTACTAATGAGCTCAGGGATGGTACAGCTCACATCCCTAGGAACGGGGATTCACTCTGGACACTCAGAACAGCAAACTCAGAGATTCAAGCCAATAAGAACTCTGCCGGCCTCACTGCCCCCAAGGACCCAGCTCATGCCTTGTCCAAAGCCCCTTCTTAGGCTGCTCACCTGTAACATTTAAAATGGAGGGAGAGGGATCAGGTCCCCCAACCTTTGTGCCCCCTCTCCACCAGATAATGGTAACAGGTTCAGGAGGACCCACAGCTTCACAAAACAGTTGGAAAGGGGCATTAGGTGGCACAGCCAGATCTTTCGGCTCCACAGTGAAAAATGGCACACCTAGGGAGAGAAGGAGGGGATGGATCGAGAGTGAATGCCACCTTCGGTCTCCTGACTGCCAAACAAGTTAGCTTCCACTTGAAACAGTCTACGCAGAAAAAAAAAAAAAGAAACAGTCTACGCAGAAGATCCCAAGCAGGTCCCTTCGGATTAGGCCAACTGCAGAGTAGGCATCTAGCTTCCTGGGGACGGGGGCTTCCTTTCTTCAGCCCCCTTAAGCATGACAGATTCTGCTAACAGCTCCCACACTCCCTTCCCAGACCGGCTGTGACAGCCCTTCTCAGAATAAGGGAGGAGATTGGGGGTGGGGAGCTGCAAGCTGGGGGAGGGGCAAGAAGGAAGGGGGAGTGGGCGGGAGCTTAAGCAGAGTTCTGCTAGCAGGCCCTAGCTCCCCTTCAGGGTCCTTTGTTACTTTCTTAGTCACTTTGTTTTCCTAGGCTGAACAGCACTGAGCTTCAAGCTCCCACAGCTGCAAGCCTTCTTCCCCTCCCCCAGCCATCCTCTTCGGACCAGGCCACTTAATAGAACAGGGTCCAAATGGATGATTAGGGCTTGTTGCTTCGATGACTGAAGGAGATTACAACCATAGGTTCTAGACTCTAGTTGCCACCTTGGCTCTCAGATATGCCACGAGGGACCTGGAGTCTGGTGCAAAGGCAGTCCAGCCCCAGACTGTAGTCAGCAGCCTAGTTTCCACTGAGCTATCCTTTCCAGAGGTATGTCGCTAGCAGACTGCACCTGCTCTTGGTCAACATACCCACGTGGCTCTGCCTCCTCACCTTCTACAGTGAGCCACACTGGCTGGGAGATCTGGATTTCTTCCCCATCCTCCACCTGGCACCAGTACCGGCCCGCATCCGAGCGCTCCACTGATTTCAAGCTGTGGAAAGAGGACACCTGGCTCACCTCTCAAAGTCAAGGGGATAGCTCTGCTGGACAGACTAATTTATTCTGGCCCCACTACTAGAAGATTCCACAGGTTGCCAAATTCAAATAAATAAATAAGTAAACTTTCAGACCTCTGGGTATCAGCACAATTCCTCCCAACTCCCACACCCTAGGAAAAAATACAGTCACACCTTCCCACAGAGTCCTGCACCTGAGGAAGCCGATCCAGTGCTGCTCGCTGACTGGGATGTACACTTGGTCCATGCTCTGGACCACAGCCCCATCCTTCACCCACTGTATCTCCGGCTCCTCCATCCCTTCCACGCTACAGTTGAGTTTCACCATCTGCCCCTGTGACACTGTCAGCTTCACCGGGGCACCTATGAGCTTCAGGCCTGAAGGGTGGGAAGCAGAACATGTCAGCTTGCTCGAGAGGAACTTTGTATCTGGGAATACCTCCCATTCCGCGCCCCCGCCCCGAATCTTTCTTCTGTGTCAGAGGGCTCATTCTCAGTCAATGGCCAAACAGGCGAGGACAGTGTGAGAGAGAAGGTGGCCTGGATTTAGGCTAGCTAAGGGAGCCCTACAAGCCCTCCTGTCACTATTTTTGTCAACACCGAGTCCCCCAGCTCTATGGTAATGCCTTCCCTCATAGACAATGCAAGTTCACCCCCAGCTACCAAAAAGAAGACAAACTAGGCTGCAGAAGTCTGGACTGGTCCCAGCCATGAAGTCAGGCTGAAACAGTAGGGCTCTCTCACCCTGCTGGGGCGGGCACTGCCCTGAGAATGATTGCTGCATCTAATCAGTGCAACAGGCTGCCAGTTCTCTACCCAAGGTGCCAGCCCAGATCCCACACTGTTGCCTGCACCCCCTGCACCCTACCCCGCCAAAAGAAGGCAGGCTGAGGAAGGGAAGGAGGGGGTGCTTCCCTGAAGCAGAGAACATATGGCTCCACAACCACGTCAGATCAAACACATGGCAGCCTTCCTGGCAGCAGCCTGCTCTATTAATACCTGAATGTGTGCAGGGGCGGGTGCTAAGAAGGTGGGAGGCAGGAGGAAGGGGCCCTGAACTGAGCAGGAAGCCCAAGACCCCTGAGCCACTGCCAGTCACATTAGCAAGGGCTATAGAGAGGGTCTAGGACTCCACCTTCTACATATATACACACATCTCTACCTCTTCTGGTATCTTTTTATGCAGACATGGACAGGTAAAAGTATCAGCATAGCTGAAATCTTATCCAGCTTCTTCCAGTCTTATGCTGTGTGACTACAAGTAAATTTCTGGATTCTCTGAGCCTCAGATACATGTATTTCTGCTTGTAGATACTTGACACCTTCTTTCTCTTCCTTTTGCTCCCCATAGGTGGATAGGCAAGGAATACTGTTTGAAGAAAGGTGCCTGGTCCGTGGCTGTGCTGGCCTTTCCCTACTCCTGTCACTTACTGGGGAACAGTCACAGGACAAGTATGGGGGAGAGAGAGATACATATACAAACATGCAGCCGTCCCAGGGGTGGGCAGTGTGAAGTTGGGGAGCCAGGGTACCGTATGGAGCTGTATGTAACAGTAAGCCTCAGTGGCCATGGAGAAACACAAGCCCCAGTTCATCGTCTCCCAATATTCCAGCCACCAGGAAGCTCTAGGTGGGCACAGAGACCAGAGTATGTCCAAGTAGGTGTTATTTAGTAACTGGGCACTCTCATGGTGCCTGCGCCTCATCGGTGTGGAGATGCCCCTCGGGTGCACGGCCCCTGTCCCTGTGGCTTCAGAGTGGGACCTCTGTGTGTGGAGCAGGCAGAGCGGGGTCCCCAGGAACTGGCGAGGCAGAGCACACAGAACTCAGGATCAGCGAGGCGGGAAAATACAGTCCCTACCCCCTAGCTGACTACACAGCCCATACCCCCACTTCGCCTTCCACCCCTCCGGATGAGCCCGGACGCGAGAAAGTTGGGGGTGGGGGCCCCATCCGAGACCTGGCAGCGAACACACCGCCGAGCCCGGTTCCCCTGCCACCACGCCTCGGCCTTCCCAGCTTCAGTAACTGCACTCGCCCAGGCCCGGGTCTCCGCCGGCAGCCGCGCCCGCGCTCCGACCCCCGGCCGCGCCCCTCCGCAGTGCCCCGCTCCTCGCCGCCCCCGAGCCAGACCCTACCTGCGGCGGCGGGCTCCGGGAGAAGCAGAGCGGCCAGACCCGCCAGCAGCAGCGGCGGCAGCGGCGGGAGCCCCGGCCGCCCCATGCTCCGCCTCAGCGCCATCGGCGGCGACGCCGCACCATGCCGGGCCGGGCCCGCGAGCGAGGAGGGAGAGGGGAGGAGAGACGCGGGAGGCGGGAGGAGGGGCGGGAGCCGGCCTGGGGGCGGTGCTGGGGCGGGCACCGCCGAGCCCCGCGCCCGCTCGCCGTGGCAGCTGCCGCCGTCAGCAGCACGGGGTCGCCGGGGCCGCTGCCGGGCCACCGCGCTCCTTCCTCAGGCGCCGCCGCCGCCGCCGCTGATTCATGTTCTTCTCAGAGCCGCCGCCTCCTCCCGGCCCGCCCGCAGCCCGTACCGCCCCCCCGCGGAGTCCGGGGCCAGTGCGCCCCGGACGCCATCCTGGCCTCCTCCGGACGGACCTCCGGCCCCACCTGCAGACCGCCCAGTCCCGCCAGCACCCGGAGGACCTGGCTCTGTCCCCCCAGAAGGACGCCCCAGCCACGCCCCTCAATATCCTAAATACAGCCCAGCATCTTTTCAAACCCACTCTCCAGATTCTTCCTTCAGAAGCTTGCTGCATGCCTCCACCATACCAACTTTATCCAGACTTTGATCCCAAAGCCCAGATCTCTTCTCTAAGGATAGAAGGCACCTCAGACCCCACTATCACCAAATACTCAGTCATCGGTTTCTCTCCCCAAACTGCTGTGACTCAGGCCTCTCTCCTACGGGATGCTCTCACTAATCTTTGCTCCAGATTACCCATATTTGTGCTCAACCACTCGCCTTTACCTCCAAGACACCTTCCTACCAAAATCGCATCATTTTGTCCATTGCTGTGCATCGTGCTTTTCACCTTGGGACTGGGCGTGGATTTTCCAAGACCTAGACAGGTCCTCGGTTTGTGTTCATTTTCCTTCTACACTACATAAATTACATATTTTTAGGGACTATCGTTCTTCTTAGTTGATTCCCCTATTTCTGCCTCCCACTCCTTGGGAAATGGTATGAAAGTTGCCTTATCATGTCCAATGAAATATCAACTGTTATTAGTAGACCACTGTGTACACAGTTGGCACCCTATAAACAAATTTGCAGATGAGTGTGGAACTAAGAAATAAGTGCCTCTGGACTTGGCCTGCCCTACAACTAGTAATCACATGAGTAGTTGTGCCCACAGATAACCTGCCAGGCAGAGACAGAGCTGGTTCCAATTCCTGCCTACCCAGTCATTCTCTCCCCTTGTCTTTGTATTTGCTTTTACCTATCCCTGAAAGCCCACCACTGCAGGCCCTTCCACTTGGGTGGAGAAAAAAGACCAGCCACTCAATCCCTTGTTGCTACAAGCTCACTGAATCTTTCCAGGGATTCTCCTTCTGAGAACAAGGGGCTTGCTCCTTTCTCCACTTGGCCCTGTCAGTGCTTGTTTATTAATTATATTAAAGATAACAACAACAGTGCTGGCAGCAACCTTAGATACAGCTGGGGGCGCCCCCAGGCGGCAGCATTGGAAAGATCTCCATAAATATACTGTCAGGGTTGAATGGCAGAGACCTGAAGTTTCATTTTAGCTGAGTGCTCTGCCAGTTTTCTTGGGCATTGTGGGTCAGTTCTTGGACTTTTTTTTCCTCCCAAAATCTACAGCTTCTGAGCTGGGACAGAGTTGGATGAGGATAACAATCTAGAGCTGAAGCCAGATTCACTGAGACCTCAGTTCCTGTTGCAATGTGATTACTACAGCCCTGCTACTTAGGCACTTGTCATTTCTCAAGGCCTTCTCTCCCACTTCTCTCTGGAGAGAACGCCAAGTTTTCAGGGAAAGCTGACTGACAATCCAACAACTCCTCTTAGAGGATGTTGAACCCAGAGACCAAACCCAGCCTTCTCATTCCCTTCCCACCATTTCCCTGGGCTTAGAATGGGAGTAACATCCCAAAGATGAGTCTTTGGCACCATCTAAAATAGATTTCCTGGACATGTTATAAATGTCACTGAATTCTCCACTGAAACCTTGATAAATTTTCTATCTAGTTTTAGGCTTAAGACTCATCATTACCTCATCATTACGGCTTAGCATCTATGTAGCAAGAAGCCCTCTGCCCTTGTCTTTGAATCTCATTATTTTAGTATCTTCACTTGGGTAGAATTCTGTGGTTTTGAGCCTTCAATGTGAGGTCCTGATCTTTTAATTTCTCAGATCCTAAAGAGAATGATTGTCCTACCAAAATTGCACAACCCAACTTCTTTGCCTCGATCATCCGTCGTTCTCTGTGCACAGTGTACAAATGTGCTTCTAAGGGTATGTGAGCAGGTGCGATTTTGTGGAAGAGGTGTGTAGGTGGGTGAGAGGGTGTGCATTATGAATTATGAGGGAGGGTGTACATTTGTGCAAACTCTAAATGTGACTGAAGTTTTGTGGGTGGATAAGGAGAAAGAGTGTGTGTATGTGTCTGACTGGGGAAGTTGGCTGCCTGTGCAAATACATGCTTGCAAAATTTCCCTCTCTTTCATAAATGCATTGCTTGGAAGGAAACTAATCAAATAAACAGGAAATGTATTTGGCCAAATGTTGGAGCAGCTGTCCCAGGAGTTACTGTCCTCAGAACAGAGCCAGAGTCAGTTCTGATCAATCCCAGGGGAGCAAGAAGAGACCTCAGGGTGGGAGGAGAGCAGGGTCAGAGGAAGGACCAGTAGCAGTTGCTTATTTATAGATAGCTTAGGTTGGACTCTGACATTCCTTAACCTGTTGAAATATGTATCTGCCCATTCTGGCCAAGGAAGACATCAAAGATCCAGACATGAAAATGAGGAACTTGAAGAAAACTCTTATTTCAACTTCCATCCATCTCAGGAAGCACCTACTTAAAATTTTTCAGAGTTAAAGTATCCTTCACAGTCATTGGGTAGCAGGGAGTCTTTGTGGATCCTTCTTTGTTGGCCATACAATTGTGGAAGAAACTGGATCATTTCTATAATTCCTCACAGACTAGACTTGATTAATGGTATCTTTGTGTTGTCATTTAGCAGATTCCTTTAACACCTATATAGCCCATGGACTGGTAGTTAGGCAAAGGGACCCTAATGGCACCGTAGTTAAACATTAGCCTGTTAAGGAAAGCAGTTTTAACTCCCAAACTACACCACTGGAGAAAGATATGGCAGCCAAGGAAACCTTACAGAGCAGTTCTACTCTATCCTTTAGGGTCACTATGAGTTAGATCCACAATTAACATCCAGGGTAACAGTAGCCAAGAAAACAAAAGATGTGTTGCATTAGGAGAATCTGCTGTCAAGGACCTCTTCAAAGTGCTGAAGAGTAACAATGTCTGTTTTAAGAGTAAGTGCACTTGATACAAGCCATTTCATTTTTTTTGGTGGTTTTTTTATTATTATTAAATTTTATTAGTTTTAATAAACATTTACAGAGATTTGGGGTTTTCATTCATTCATTGTTGCACTGAAGCCATTTCATTTTTAACTACTTCTTATGCATCTGAAAGTTAGACAAGAATAACAGAAGAATTGATGCTTTTGAATTCTGATATTGGTGAAGAGTACTGAATATGGCCACAGAGTTCAGAAAAACAGTGTGTCTTGGAAGCCAACAGAGCGCTCTTTAGATGCAAAGATGATAAAACTTCATTTCATATATTTTGGGTATATTGTCAGAAGAAGCTAATCCTTGAAAAAAAGAAATCTTGCTGGGAAAGGTAGAGGGTCAAATTAAGACTGAAAGATCCCCCCAACAAGATGAATTGACAAGATGACTGTAACAATGGGCTTGAGCATGTCAGACATTGTGAGGATGGAAAGGACAGTGCAAGGATCAGATCTGTACATACGGTCCTAGACATGAGTCATACGAAATGAGTCATAGACATCTAGAGGGTACATAACAACAATAACATACGTCAGAACCAACTTGTTTATGTTGTTATTGTTGTTACGTGCAAAGGAGTCAGAACCAACTCCTAGATGACCCTCAAAGGCTATAAATTGCAATGGAAGAAATTATCTGTCTTCCCCTTACAGCAGCTGGTGGATTCAAACTGCCTGCCTTTGGGTTGGCAGCGCAACACCTAATGCAACTAGGCCACCAAAGCTTCCAACTTGCCTATAGCCATTATTTAATTGTTACTGTTGTTAGATGTCATCAAATCTATTACAAACCATAGTGACCCTATGAATGACAGATCTGAATCCTACCCTATCCTGGAACACCTCTGCCACACTGGAACCCATCGTTATGATCGCTATGCTAATCCATCTCATTAAGAATCTTCCCCTCCTTTGCTAACCCTCCATTTTCCCCAGTGCCTGATACAAGCCATGGTCTTTTCAATTACTTTCTATGCATCAGAGAGCTGGGCAATGACTAGGGATGATAAAAGAATTGATGCCTTTGAGCTGTGGTGTTGGAGAAGAGTATTGAATATACTGTGAACTGCTATGAAAACAAACAAGTTTGTCCTAGAGAGGGTTAAACCAGACTGCTCCTTGGAGGCAAGGATTCTGAAGCTTCATCTGACATACTTTGGACATGTTGCAAGGAGGAACCAGTCCTTGGAGAGGGATGTCATGCTTGGGAGGGTGGAGGGACAGCGCAGGAGAGGAAGGCCCTCTATGAGGTAGATTGATTCAGTACCTGGGGCAATGGGGTAGGTGTGTTGGAGACAGTGAGATTGGCACAGGATAGAGCAGGGTTTAGGGCTGTTGTACACAGGGTTGCTATGAGTCGCAGGCAACTTGACAGCATATAATAACAACAACAACAATAGCCTTTTGCAAGGACTGGCTCCTCCTAATAGCATGCCTAAAGAATATGAAACAGCTTCTTCTTCTCCTCCGAGAAAGCACCAAAAGGCCATTGATGCCAATGCAGCAGGAGGGCCTGGAGGCCCAGAGGGCCCTGGGAGGGGAGCCCGAGGAGATTTCCGCCTGATGCTCTGGGTAGCAGTCTACAGTGTGGGGGCCGAGCCGTGGACGGGGCCGTGGGAGGGTCCGTGGAGCTCTAGAAGGCAAAGCCAAGGACAAAGAGTGGCTCCCCATCACCAAACTGGGCCATCTGGTCAAAGATATGAAGATCAAATCCTTGGAGGAGATTTATCTCTGACTGCCCATTAGGGAGTCTGAGATCATTGACTTTTTTCCTGGGGATGTCCCTCAAGGATGAGGTCTTAAAAATCATGCCTGTGTAGAGACAGACACATGCTGGCCAGCGGACCAGGTTCAAGGCCTTTTCGCCATTGGAGACTAGAATGGCCATGTTGGTTTGGGCATCAAGTGCTCCAAGGAGGTGACTACC